GTACAAACAACCACCCCCCCCCCTCTCTTTGTGGATTTTTATATTATATTGATACTGTCCAAAACGTCTACCTGCTAAAGACAATCTCTTTACTCCTGGACCAAAAAAAAAAGGGGGGGGGGGGGCATCTTGGGCAGTTTCAACTGTAGGTCTTAAATTTTTAAATAATATGCTGTAAAGATGGAAACTAACATCAATTTCCAGCAACGTATGTCAAAGTTTTTTGTCTAAGGAGTAGTTAATCTAGCCCAAGTTGTTCTTGCAGCCGTACCTTTTCGATTGTAAGCAAGTCATGATTATAAATGTCCTACGTCCCCTTCAGCACACTTTAAGATGTATAAGAAACGTTTAAAAAAAATCGACCCTACCTATCACGGCCTACCCGGGCTGACTGGAATACATCATCCCTTCGGACAGACATAGATACTCGATAATAGGTCATTTTAAAATTACATTTACATTTTCCTCTTTCCATCTCGGCGAGATGCATTACAGTAAGAAATATGCACAATTGAGAACACTTTTTACAAAATCTTTGCTAAAAAAAGATACACACAGCTCGGTAGACTGGTAGGCCTACATTGACAAAAAATACAACATTACAAGAATCCGGTATATCGCGTAAAAATGCAGATCAGTACATAATATGTGAATACACAGTTAGACATAAAAAGCACGATTATGGTGTTTAACAACTCACAAAGTGAAACAAACGAGTTCATTAATCGGATGAAAGCGACATGACAATTTTCTATAATTACTCAAAATGTTATCACATTTCGAAATAAATCAGTAAAGACCCCATATCATGTAGTTGACAAATAAATACATTATAGCATGCGTACACTATACGGAGATGGTAATAATGAAATATGATCCTGTATTTGTTAGAGCACAAGACTGCTGTTAAAAAGATTAGTGTTCAGGCACCTTTTAAATCGGGTGACAGTTGCCACTTGTTATTAATTTTAATGATCTTCCAAATGGCGAGCCCAAAAAGCAAAAACCAACCAAAAAAACAAAAAAAAACAGCAACAAAAGCAAACAACAACTACAACAAAAAAAAAACAACCCCCAGCAAAAAAGCCACACATTCTCATAAACATTTCAACTTTACTAAAGCAGGAATCGAACTCGCATCTTCTGTCGCCAACAGTCAAGAGCCTTACGGTGCCATTGATGCTCCGATCTCGAGTAAATTCCAAAAACCTGGAACATTTTGACAAATAAGACAAAATTGCTGCTGTGATAAAAAAAACAAAAAAACAAAACAACAACAAACAAACAATAACAATCAAAAGCGACAACAACAATTAATCCACTTGGAGATACGATTCTTATAATAATAATTTGTCCATCAAAGCCTGATGCTGACCAATGCATGAACAGAGGAGACTATTTCTTTAGCGAAACAGACAAAAATACATTTAAGATAACTTGTGGCTCAAGCTATGGCCAGCGAGACCAATGGTTTGAGAAAAGTTTGCAATATTATTTTGAGCGTTTAAAAGCTTCATTTCCACTCGTGGATGTGTGCAGCTTGTGGGCTTCTCTCTTCTCTCCAGCATTTTTTATTCTTGAATCCTAATACCTTATTCTTCGTATTTCTTATTCGTGAAGCCACATACTTTGATGTATTTGATTTGACATTTTTTTCATCTTGAATTGTCCATATTCCTCTGAAGGTCTGATTCTACACCTCGCTCGTCTTCGCCCCTCCACACTGATATTATTTCCCTTGCTCTGTTTGGGCGTCCTGTTCAACCTTACGTCTTATTTGAACGACTACGGGGCTCTCTTGTTTCTCTCCATCGCCCTCGGAGCTTTGACCAGCTCTTTCTGGACATTACAGGTCAGTGATGATGCCGTTCTTGTCTCTCTAAATATGTCCCCTTCAGGTGTTTTCTTACCGACGTCAGTGGCCTTTTGATTGTGCGCTGCACTTATAGGGTACGAGTTCGATTCCCACGAGATATAAGTCTATATCAACAAGTTGTTTCTTTATCTTTCTGCTGCAGCATTATATCCCACTAAACCCAGCCTGTCCCTAATATGTAGGGTTAAAGTAGCCCACCTCCTAAACCATCCAAAGTGTCTTGTCAGGGTAGTAAAACCATCAATGTTTTGTTCTTACCTATCTTTGTTTTTGTTAATGTTTTAATAACGCTGCTCAGTGTCGTCATTTAGACTAATTTTGTTTTAGCATAGAAAGAAATATACAATGTACATATACGTATATGGGATATATGTTGTAATCATGATGGGGAGTAATACTTATCGATCTATCTATCTATCTATCGATCTCTATCGATCGATTTATCGATCCATCGATCCATCGATCCATCGATCTATCGGTCGGTCGGTCGGTCGGTCGGTCGGTCGGTCGGTCTGTCGGTCGATCTGTCGATCGATCTGTCGATCTATCGATCTATCGATCTAGCTATCTAACGTGCAAATAAATATAACAACCGTTGGAAGTTATGCAAAAAATGGTAGAAAGGAGACCATGTAGCAATATGTTGTTCTTTTTTATTCCACAGACTCTCATCATCATTGAAATCCTTGGCCTGGAACAACTTGCCTCTGTATTTGGTTTCTTCGCAGTCTTTCAGGGCACCACAACAAGTATCTCCTTCCCGGTGTCAGGTACATCTTTGATTCTGACATTTCTCGTGATATTTGTGTGTGTGTGTGTGTGTGTGTGTGTGTGTGTGTGTGTGTGTGTGTGTGTGTGTGTGTGTGTGTTTGTGTGTCTATAGGTGTGTG